AGCACGGCACCAGTAATATATAAGGAGAAATATTAGGTGCCCTTGTTAATGTACTCTGAAGACGGACCGAATTTGGTCCAAAACGTCAGATATCTCTAATTGAATAATCAGAAAATAATAATCTAATCAAAGAGATTGAATAATTCAACCACCTACTTAAATAATGTACATGTAATAATGTAATATGCACGTACTTGCTTACCTTAGTTTCCGTTGTTTGCGCCGCAGAGCCTGGACAGCGGGTTAGGATCTTGCTGTGACATTTTTTGTGAACAGCGCAGTTGCAGTACACGCACTGGTACCCTTGCTTGTTGATGCCCCTAGAACGAGGTGCAGATATGCATAAAAAATAGTTGTAATTAATTTACGCGTTAATAAGCGAGTCACGGCTTACCAGACGAACAGCGAGCAGATTGAGCAGAAAGTGGGCTGGCGGAAGAAGGTGGCCACGAACGCGTGGCCGAGTATTTGGTGCTGCTTTTCATGGCGAATGGCACCCCGACGACGAGCGATGCCATGCGAGTAACCGGAAGATGAGCCAGAGCTGCCAATCGATTCCGTCTCCGGTCTCGAATTGCCTTTGAAGAGCTTCACTTGAGCAAGCAGTCTTCCGGCAGTGCGCAGTTTGATCTGCAAATCAGGTCTGTTAGATGAAGAGATGGATTTGGAGGCGTGCCACAGGCGAATTGGCAGGGAACTACGCACCGGTGATGGTGCCGCCGAATCTCAACCACACTTTACTGTATTTGCCTTATCGACATTTTTTCCTCGTGCTAAAGTCTTTCACCTGATTTTTCGTTGTTGGAACGTCATCAACGCAAGTCGTCCGTCCTGCACTCTTCACTTTCCCTGAGCGTTACTTAGCGAATGGTGTGCTTGGTTGTTCGGAATTTATTATTATGACGTATTCCCAACTTTCATTCAGCCCAACGGACGTTATAAGAAATGTTTTGGTCACGGATCGTTATGATTGGCGAATTGCGAGTGGCACCGCTATCCCGATCTACCGTCGTGCAGCTAAGATCAGTCAGTTTTTCCACACGATTCTTCGCGCAGCATTGACATCTTGCATCAGTTAAAATGAGTTATATTTATAAAAAATGCCAATTACTTTTGGCAACGCAACTGACAAGCCATTCATATCAAGAGTGAAGCAAATGTGGGTCGATGATCCGTGACAGATGGACAATAAGTTAAAGTTGTGCCATTCAGCAATCATTTCACAGTTCACAAATGGGAATGATTCAGCTCTAGGAGAAAAGCGTAAATCCAGCTGTTTGCGTGTTTAATGTGGAAGCATTAATACGAATTAAACGGGAAGCCCTTGCCCATTCAACTACGCTGTCAATTGCGATGGCCTATTTTTCCATAAGCGGCAAATCCCAGTGCGTCTTCTAGAAGTCAATGAATGGACAAACGGATGATATCCTCTACACATAAGGCATGGGATTCTTCGTCACTCGCAGGCTTGGCTACAATACAATAAATAAGATTGTCTCTTAGGGGCTGAACATCTCGATGTTAAGATTTCACATATGTATGCTGAAATCTGGTGCGATGAATGGTGGCTGTCATCCTCTGGTTATCATCGTCTCCAAAGCTAGTCATTTCCCAGCTCATGACAGCTATAAGTTTACCCTGTCATTTGATGTAATAACGCCAAACCACACCTATCTCCTGTATGCGATCCTTTGCTCGGGAGGCGGACATTGAATTTACGGGGAGGACGCCCTGTCGCAAGGAAGAAAGAGTCGATGAGGAACGAAAACTTTTCTAAAGCGTCGCTAATTGGCTATTGACGTATTCCTCATGCCTGATCGTTGGTACTCAAGCGGGGGCCGTGAAAAGTCACACTTCGCCCGGACACGACGTGGTCAGTACCCAAATAGCGGCGGCTTCGTCGTCCTTGCACACGTCGACCACGTCCTGCAGGCGCACCATGGCGTCAGCGATCGGTCGCTCACCGTCCATGACGATGATCTGTATGACGCGGTCGGGACTCATGCACACGTCAAAGCACCGCTTCCATTCGGGGAAGAACGTCCTGCCCTGTTGCACCAGCTGCGACGAGTGAGTCTCTGAAAATAGCAACACGCTGAGGGCAAAGTTGGTCAAAGCCAACGACCGCCGCCCTACCGTTCTCGACTCGTTCCTTGATGTTCACGGCGCACTGCAGGTCAAAGCGGCAATCAGTGACTCGGAAGTGCTCGGGAAGATCAATTTTAATTAGCTTGATTCTGACATTTGTTTCCATCACCATTGTGAACGCTGACTACCGCTTATTGCCGAAGAAAATGTCACGTTCAACGCCTGAATGGAAAATACGTGATAAAACAATCCGTGTTCGTGGTTCATCGTTTTTCGCATAAAAATGTGCAAAATCCAACACGGGCACATACCTCAGCACCATAGAATACCAATTTCGTAAAGTATACAAAATATCTCAGAGGGTGGATGGCACGAGGCGTGGTTCCTCAGATTTTTTCGTACTCGTTGTCTCGTCTGGAAATATCAGGACAGCCAGTTTTCTTAAGGAAACGAAAGTATCGCAACAAGCACAAGAAAGGCCTGACGTACATTTGAAACGAACACAACTTGAGGCTACAAGCAATGAGCCTCACTAAAATTAACAGTTTGTTCTTCTGGCCCTTTCTTGCCAGTACGGACCGTACAATTCTACATGTCATATTAAATATTACATACACATATTATAGCTCTGCCGTTGCCAGTCATAAGTTCGAATGAGACAGGAGAGAGGTTGAGACGCTGGGCATTTCTTGTAAAATTTAGCCACCTGCCAAGCATGGTTTAGCCGTTGTCCACTGCCATGCCAGCTAAGGCGTTATCTTGGTAACAAATGCCACGTAGGCTGTTGGAGACCTGAGGAAAGTAGGCGATCAGAACCTGCTTCGTATCTAGCAGCTGGAGACGTACCAGAACGGTGACGGCTGCAGAAGATGGACAAAACGACGACGAAGATTCCAGTCAGCGAGGGTGTCGCTACCCCTTCTGAACGGAGGAAGCAGACAGCGTGATGCCATTGCAGCAAGTCAGAAAAGGGTAACCGAGAACATCACCTTCAGCGGGAGATTAAAGTCGGAAATTGGAACATATTCTCACTCTCGAAAGAACGAGAGTTAGTTGATGAGGACATAAAGTACCAACTCGACAATGTTGAACTCTCGTCAGCGAAACGCGAATGCTCTGGAATCCGGAAACTCTGAGGGTGGAAGCAATTCTGCTCACGTGTTGACATCACGACGCCCGTCCAGGCCGGTGTTGGTGTTCTGGTAGAGGCCTACGTAGCTGACAGAACGATTGAATGGAAGCTTGTCAGCGGAAGAGTGGCAACCCTCTGACTGAAGCCGCAACAAGCTGCTGCGTTGACCTTGTTACGAGACTATTTGGAGGAAGAATACGAGTCCTTCCTTGAGGAAATGAAGTGTGCTCTGCACGAAGTGCCGAATACGGACTTCTTCATACTCAAGGGCAAGTTCAATGCGGATGTCGGAGTAGACCTGAAAAGTGAAAAGTCCTCATTGGAAAGAACTGCCCTAGCGACCTCAACAATAACGGGACGAAGTTGTTTCGATTTTGTGGAAACAGCGGTCTCTCCGTTAGGAACATCTTTTTCAAGAATCGAAATATGCATCAGTATACAAGGTATAGGAAAGCTTGTGCACAGAAGTCGATGATCGATTTGATAATCAAATCGCTTGTCGTACGACACTTTGTAATGGATGTTCTCGCTAAGAGAGGCGCAGAGCTGTCATAATCATTATTTCGCTGGAAACGTTGGAGAACGATTCGAAAATCTAGTAGAAGCTTCCGGGTAATCCAATGGGAAACACGCTCTTCTGAGAGGCAAAGTTTTCAAACAATGTGGCACCACGGTTTGAACAGTAAAAACAGCTGACATGCAGACCGAAGGAAAGGTCTTTCAAAGTGGCTTATTCAGGGATGTCGCTAAATGTTGCATTTTGAAACAAGCTGGTTGCTGATTGAGGTTCAGAAACGAATTTCATCGTGGAGACCAGAGGTTCAACTATCTTTCAGCAATGGGAAAGCTGCATTCGAGGTATGGCTTGGAAGCCTCAGCCTTTAACTCGAATACGGCAAGACTAAGTGGGCAGAGGAACGGAAAAAGCGGTGTCCAAGTCGAAAGCTGATTCCTGGAAATGGGATTCAGCCATGGGCTGGTGATGAATATCCAGACGGCAAACAAGATATTTTGGCACACCATTGCTGCCTCTTAGACGCAAGACAAGTAGTCTGAGAGTCCTGAAGGACAAAACCAGATGCCTTTTTACCAAGGAAAAGGATATAGTGGCAAGAATACTTTCAGGAATTACTTAATCAGAGGCAACCGCAGGAAAAATTGCTTGAAAAGTAGCTAGCGTGCTGTGGATATGTGTTCTAGTTGACGAAGTCACAGAAGTTGTATAAAGCTTGAAAAGTGGCAAGGCTTTAGGAGTCGGTTAAATCTGCCCCCAAGGTTCTCGGGAACAACGCGAGTTGTGGCTCACACTGTTTGCCATAATCCAATAACTTGGAATAAAACATTGGTGGAACGAAGAAATGAAACAGCAGTGTACCCCTGCTTAAAAAGGCGATCACAAGACTGCTGTTTTTGCCACAGCATTACCGCCTTGAGCCTCCTGAGTAAAGTCCACGCCGTGTGTGATAAAGGAGGCACCGCGAAATAGTTTATTCTAAGGTCCAAGAAGGGCACTGAGGCTTCAGATAGGGCTGAAGCACCTCTGACGAGATCTCTGCCTTACTCCAGGTGACCGAGAAATCACTTCAGTTAGCCCACCTAGCTTACATGTGTTTTGTTGACCTAGAGAAAGCCTATGACCGGATCTGGCGCAACGGGCTGTGGGCTTGATTGCAAATCTATGGCATCGATGGCCAATTGCTAGAAGCAATTCAATCACTATACATTAATAGCAGGTGTTTCATCAGAGTAAATGGCGCTAAATCGAGACCTTCTAGCTTTGGCAGTGGTTCCCACCAAGGGAATGAATAGTCAGACGCAGCCAGGGCGACCAGTGAATCAGCATAGGAAATGTGGAGACGAGAAATTTGCTGTTTGTAGACGACCTGTGAGGAGTCTCTGAAGATGTAACGAACGACAGAAAAATATGGAGGAGGCTGACTCGATTAGCACACCCCTGTTAAAGGGAACATGCTATGAAGAAGAAAAAGATGAACATTTTGCTGCTTATTTTGTGACCTGAAATAGCATGAACAGTTGTGACCAAGGTATAGCTGAGGCTGAAGACTGAGATGTCAATTTTCGTGTTGTTCTTTGTCTTCATGCCCATCAATGATGAGGAATCGTGGATCATGACTGAAAAACTTCGATCTCGGATACAAGCGGCTGAAATGGACTCTCTGAGATGATTCACGCGCATGTCAGCATTGTCTGAAGAGTTCAGACGTCTAATAGAGTTTTGGTGTACAGCCCCTGCTTCTCCAGAATGAGTAATTTTACCTGTAATGGTTTGGGCACATCTTGCCGTTGCCACCAGAGAAGAATAGAAAACAGCCACAACATGCTCGATCGATTGGCCAAAAACTCGTTATAGCCAAGAAAACCTGTGGTAAATATCTCAGAAGCTCTGCTCTAGACTCAGGTTATCTTCTGTCCACGATGAGACGCTGTCATGGAGGAGGAACAATGAAGACACAGTGACCTGAAAGGATCGACAGCAGTCGAAAATGATTGACTTAATGATGTCATATTGCTGTCAGCAGTTGGAAAATACTGTAAGCGGAATTACAGGCTATGCGTTTTTGTAACGAGCAACTTTCTTCGACTCATAGACAAAAGCTGCTAACGAAAATCATTTATTTATCATGTGTCCTTAGAGCATGTTATTCAGTTCTATCGTCAGACCTAAGGTAGTCTGTTCACCGTGCAGCAAGTGTGAAAATACGTAGCAAGCGAGTGATAAAATCATTAAACTACTTTATAAGTAGCCTTCTTCTAGATTGATGGTTTCAAGAGCGTCTAGAGATCTACCAACAACCGGTGGCTAGTATCTCTGTCTTTCCCAATTCTGGATTCATGATATAATAATGCACATATCTGCTGCCTATGGTATAATCATGACGTCCATGACTCGGGACAGAGCAATGATAAACAATGGGATCGAAACAGAGTGAGGTATGCTGTCTGTCGCATCGGTCTCTACAGCAGTCGAAAAAACCTTCAAAAGACCATCAGCTAATCATCAATTTGACCCTTAGTAAAACATCTGGCTATGAAGAGTATGTTAAAGGGTAACCTGATTACAAACCGGAACGGAAAAGAAGAATGTGAAATTCACGGTAGCCGTGCATCCCACAAAAGCAGTAAGTAAATTCCATCACGAACCCTATCCGTGAACTGTTTATTCTGAAGACTGAGAAAGGCGATTTGTGAGCAATAGAGAAACAAGAGAACAATACATCAGTGACCAAAAAAACAGCGGGCCTTGGAAAAGAAGAAATAAATGGCTGAAGATATAACCAACAGTAGGATATATAATTTATTGAGTAATCATGATCGTAATACTCTCTGAAGTAATGCAAGGGAGCAATTCAGCAGTTGCAATGCAAAAAATTTCCACAAGCCTAGGTCCATTGAGTTCAACAAGTGGCGATGTCATGCATTTGTTAAACATTACTTGAGTCTTCTTCAGGTTCATCTTCAGACTTGATTTCATTCTGGCATTGCTCAGTTCTTGGATTTTTGTCTCAGATTCTTCTGGACACCATGGTAGCATCAGAATGTGGTCGTTGAATCGCAAGTGTCTTAAGTAGTAACCATTTACGTTCAGACCCTGGTTTAATAATGGAATTATATGGCAACCATTTCCACGGGTGCGTGAATAACTTAAATGACGTTGCATAACGTTGAAGGATACCCTTGCCGATTTTGAACTTGCTTGTGCCTTGGTGATGCGTCACATCGGCATTTTCATTTTAGCAAATCAAGGGGTGAGGTTTCTGTAGGGTTTGTGGACTCTCTGGCTCCTTAAGGAATCCAATATAAACAGGGTGCAGATTGAATCGAAAATTCTCTCAAAATCAAGGAATCCAACACATACAGAAGCTGATCATGATTGCTTCTTTAAATGACTTGTTCTGTCATCTGAATGGTCCATCGCACTAAATCCACGTTTGAATCATGTTAACTGCATTGGTTGTGCAGAGACAAATTTTTCTTAAGTCAGTTCTTCAGTACTTTCATGAAGGTTTTGTGAG